TTACAACATTTTTTTGCTATGGACCTGGATTGGAGAGAAGGTTAAAGATGAAAAATATTTAATATCTGGACACAACTTTTCTTTCCAGTCCTACTTTCCAAGAGAGATAATTGCCACTCACTGCAGCTGCTCATGGTGCCACCTCATTAGTAGTTTCTCTCACTATGAGATTATTGTTATATGCAATCTCATTAGTGAGTATGCCTACTATCAGACAATCTCTTTAATCTAACCTTTTGACTACTTATGAGAGTTGGATGCTTTCTCTGCATGAACGAACGAGCTGAAAAGTACAAATACTCCTCAGTAAGCAATTCAGTAAAGCTACTTTCTTCATTCCCTACTTTCTCCCTTCCCAAACAAGTAAATCCTGAGCATCCTTCAATATGCAGAAACACATCTAATTCTAAGTAATCCTTGCTAGTATTGGCGCAGATACAACACCATTCCATAAACAGATCCATAAACAGAGTTACAGCAAAATCCTGTTGGTGTAACTCTGCACTGGCATACCCCAGCTTGGGCACAGGGGAGTAGGCTTTAATAGTAAAAAAAAAAAAATCACTGGATTGCTAGTGGTGGTCCTGATCCCATTAGTAATGATGCAGCATCAATTCCTGATTTTTCATAGCCCATCCCACCTCACCATAGCTCCCAAAAGCTTCCTCAGGGCAAAAGGAAGACCTAAGGAGCATCAGAATCTAAAATGGGCAGATACAAAGCTTTTAATTGGTGTAAATGAAATGTCTCTGGCACGTTATCCAACTTATGCAAGTTATCCCAAATAGGAATTTGCCCAATATTAAGTGAAGGAAGGAGAGTTTGCGAATAAGTATGAGGAGGAAGGGAATATGAGATCCTCTAGTTTGTTCCCAGTCTAACAGTAACTGATGTGCCCTGTGTACATACGTCTGAAGGAACTGTGGGGAAAAACTCAAAGATATGACTGAATGCCTGATTAAAATGTGGACATCGGCTTAACAGGCAGTTATTAACCAACTATCAAGCATTATTTAATAATATTAATGAGAAATATAATTATTTAAATCATATAGTCTGTGTATATATGTGCGTACATGCACAAAATACTGTTTCAATACAGTGGTGCCTCGCATAGCGAGGTTAATCCCTTCCGGATTAACCTTCGTTATAGCGAAACATCGCTGAACGGGACAGGGAAAGCCATTGGAACGCATTAAACATCGTTTAATGCGTTCCAAAAGGCTCCTTTACTCACAGTTCAGCGAGGTTTCCTATGGCCGGCAGCCATTTTTGCGCCCTCGTTAAGCGAGGGGAGGGCGTGAAAACGCAGCGCGCCGCCATTTTGAGGCTTCCGGCGGCCATTTTGTTCGCCAAACAGCTGATCGTCGGAGCTTCGTTTTGCGAAGATCAGTAAGCGAAACGCTTACCGATCTTCGCAAAGCGAAATTCTCCCTATCTGAAGCTCGTTGAGCGATCGCATTAGCGCTCCGAAAAAACGGATTGCTATGCGATTTCATCGTTATACGGTGCGCTCGTTAAGCGAGGCACCACTGTACTTTATACACGGTGTGTTATATGCCTGTATTATTCTTTAAAACTTGTTTGCAGGTTGCAGCTCTACAGTAGCCCTACAGAAGGCATGGTTACAATGTAACTACTTAAGATGTAAACTAGGGTTTTCTTATCTGATTATCTTTCTTTTGGGGGGGTGTCTAGGTGCCCTAGTGCAACAATGCTTGCACCAAGCTGTTAAAAAACAATCTTGCCGCTGAAGAGATGCTTTGCTCTCTATTCTGAAACTGTTTTTTTTAAAGAAAATCTTTTTGTCAGTGGAGAAAGGTTTGTTTGCCATTCCTAAACTGTTCTAAAAAGAAAAAAGGAAAGGAAAGAAAAATCTTGCCAATGGAGAGAGGTTTTCTTTGCCATTCCTATGAGTCTGCGCTGGCACAGTGACTTTTCTGACTTTTCTGCATCAGTTCAAGTGATCACACTGCCTCAATCTATGGAAATGGGTCCATTCCCCCCCCCAGTAGACGTCCTAGTGGTGGAGGTAAAAACTACAGATTGCAGAGGGTGCGAACTCTGGGCTGAGTGATATTTTCTTCTACATCATGTGGTCATTGAAATCACTGCTAATTTCTCAGAATTTATATTAGTCTTCAGTATAATTGTTCTTGAAAGCTGAGACAGTCTCAGGAAACAATTTCTTACTGTACTGAATACTTTCCTTCTGGCTAATTATTTATCTTCATTTTTGAGAATGTTCATCTCTTTCTGTGACTATACACAGAGATTATAATCTAACACAATTACAGACCAAGCCTGTTGAGTCTGCTTGAAAGTAAATCCCAGTGTGTTAAAATAAGTGTATTCCTAAGTATGTTTAGAAGCCTAATAGAACACAGCTAGATGTTGAGACCTCTTTGTATGAATGAAGGTTTAGATCCAGAAGGTTAAAAATCATTGCTTTCCTTCAAATGCCCTGGTTTTGGACCTGCCCATCACTGGCACTAAATCTAAATATCTATAGCTTTCTGTGGGTGTGTTTGGAGGGGGGTTGGCATGTGACATCCCCAGTGACATCCCAGCCAATGTTAATCTTTCTTGCAAAACTGTCTGAAGATCTTAGAATTGTACTGTTTGCTCTCAAGCCTGCAATGATGTCCTGATTCTCCTTCACAAGGTATTTATTTCCTCACTACAATAATTTAGCCTTAACTATGAATGGTTTTTCCAGTAGCAATGTATGGAAATGAGAGCTGGATCATAAAGAGCTGACCGCTGAAGAATTGATACTTTTGAATTGTGGTGCTGGAGGAGACTCTTGAGAGTCCCCGGGACTGCAAAGAGAACAAATCTATCCATTTTGAAGGAAATCAACACTGAGTGCTCACTGGAAGGACAGATCCTGAAACTGAGGCTCCAGTACTTTGGCCATCTCATGAGAAGACTCCCTGGAAAAGATGTTGATGTTGGGAAAAGGTGAAGGCAAGAGGAGAAGGGGACGACAGAGGACGAGATGGTTGGACAGTGTCATAGAAGCTACCAGCATGAATTTGACCAAACTCCGGGAAGCAATGGAAGACAGGAGGGCCTGGCGTGCTCTGGTCTATGGCGTCACGAAGAGTCGGACACGACGTAATGGCGAAACAACAACATGAATGTAGAAACAACATATCATCAAAATCAAAATGTTGCTGCTGGCAGTGATTGCTAAATTAAAAAGTAGTATAAAATAGAATTTCATTTCGTACAGCAAAAACTGGATTTGTTTTCATTGACTCCCAATGATGAGTTAATTGCTATGTTGACAATTTTGGCTCAAACAATCTCAATCTAATAAGCCATATTTTACTGGAAGGAGGATGAGCTTCATGCCTCTTTGCAACTCAACCTGTCATGTGCCCAGATTCACCGAAGCTAACAAAGTTTCTGGAACCCCACTTTACGAATTCCCCCCTGAAACTAGGTGTACAATTAGATCCAAAGTGCTACGTACTTAGATATACTCATGAACTTGTGATCCCAGTGGAACTGTTGACTTTTTGTTTGAATAGAAAACTCTTCTCTAATTAAGTCACTTTAGTAAATGAAGATAATTAATTAGTGCATTTATATTTGACACTATGTAGGTAAATCAAAATCAGAAAGTTAGAACAAATGACTTTGTATTTGGATTATTTCTTTTCCTGTGAAAAGTTACCCAAAATAAGAGTGAGGTATTCTGATTCTCAGAATTCTGAATTCTCTATATCAGAAATCATAGTTCCATAAACATGGTACAAAGCATATCCATATTTTGAGAAAAACAATACCAAGGAGCTATTCTTTAATCAGTTGGTTTTTATGACTTAAATCTACCTGCTAGTGTCAACTACAATCAATTACTGAATGCTAAATCAACACTTGAGTAAATCCCATTGATTCGACAGGTCTGCTCTAGCTGGGGCGAGGAAATTGCCACCTATTTCTTTGCTTCTGTTGTGTTGTCAGGCTGAGAGAGTGGGAAAGTGTCATCCCTAAAGGATTAGGTAACAGGGCAGATGCTGCAGTCTCAGTGGATCTTCCCAGGCAAGACAGTCATGACAAGCTGCTTAACTGAAAGATTCTGGTTGAGAACGCAAGCTGAGGTAAGTTTAAGCAGTACAGCTTGGGTGGGCAGCACAGACAGCATGGCAAAGGAGGAGAAAGGAGAGATCTGGTTCTGGAAGCACAGGTAGAAACAACACAAGGGACAGAATTGATGAACTTCACAGAGGTGTTGTTTGCTGTGCAAACATGCTCTGTTGATAAGAAAAGGAAAGAAATTCAGAATGACAAAATAAATAATCTGTAGTGCAGAGACTGGGGACCAGGGCGTCCATGATAATAGAGTATTTCTCTTCCTTCCGGTGGGTCATGAACTAGCTTAAGGTGGTTTCCAATAGCAGTACTAGCATCATGCAGAAATTTGATAAAGAGGGGATCCTAACACATGTTTGAACTAAAGGTGGGCTTCAGATTTGAAAAGGAAGGTGGCTCAGAGATGGAGGCTTCAGCTCATTTTTCAGCAGTTCTCTGGTTCAAGAACGTCCATGGTTTGAATCTTGACTCTCCAGTCTTTACTATGGTGGATATTTTGTGTCATTTCAGAGATGATACTGGGTACAAATAATTATCCTTACCTATCTTTAGTCTCAGAATGAAATGCCATTCACTGCCGAGATTAGTTATAAAGTATTATTCTTTTACAGGGTGGATTTGATTTGAATCAAATTGATTTAAATAATGATTTACATTTTTTAATTTGGATTTTTTTGATGATTTAAATTTAAAAAATAATTTTTTAATTTAAATTATGATTTAGATCAATTTGATTTTTAAAAAATCATTGTTTTTTAACCACCTTGCTCTTTTCTCAATCCTACCTAAATAAGAAAAAACTAATATTTGTATTAAATTATTGATCTCTCAAACCTGTACAAAATAAAATACAGATTTTACCATTGTCTTGAAACAATTAGAGAATAGTCTCTTACCATTTTCTAATGTTAAAATGGTTCCTTAGAGATACTGCATAGGCAAGGAGACGGCTTTTTTAGGCAAAGTGTTAATACAGAGCCATCTGGCAGATGCTCAATCTGAAAAAGAGGAAGAACAAAATTAAATTAATACTTTCATAATAAATCTGAATACAATGTGTACTATCTGGAATAAACAGGCCAGAAACTAACCAGTTGGAACTCAGAAATAGGAAACCATAAAATACTCATCAGTTTTGGTACCACATTAAGATGGGAAAAAATCATTATCTTGATAAATTACAGTAATCAATCAGAAAAGCCTTTTAACTTTGTTGAGATATAAAATACATGGTCTTTGAAGAAAGAGAACATTAATGAAAAATTTAGTTAAGAGCTGTAAAGAAAACAAATATTCAGGATCACTCAGAAAAATCCCAAACCTTCAAACTGGAAACATACTCATCAACAGTAGAAGTACAATGGATTCCCCTGTGAGATTTCATTTTAAAAGTTGTTGGCAAGATCACTGTCACAATGTACTAACACAACTTTCTGAAAAACTGCCAAGGTTTGAAATGTTTTAGGCACAAGTTAGGCAGTCTGACTGAAGTTTCTTTTTAAATAGTCCTCCAAAGACAAAGGTAGTACAATACTGTAGTTTGTCTTCCTCAATGGCTACCAATCTGATGATTACAACTCCCAATCTCTCCAGACAATGCGAATCACACCTCTTTTGTAAAATTATGCTGGTCTGATGTCTGCTATCATATGTCCCAGACAGGTGATTTTATTGGGGGGATTAGAGTTTGTTTGTTTTCTTTTAATACTGTATATGTTTTATATGGTTTTAATAATATTTTGTAAGCCACCCAGAGTAGTGGCATGTTCACCAAATGGGCTGGGTATAAATATAAATGAATGAATGAATGAATGAATGAATGAATGAATGAATGAATGAATGAATAAATAAATAAATAAATAAATAAAATATCAAATACCTGGAGTGTTTCAGATTAGCGAAAGCTGAATTACAAAACCCAAAAAACAGCTAGAGAGGATTTTGCTTAGATGTTATCATAACAAATTATTCCCTTTAAACAAATGAAGGGAATACTGGAAAGTTAAAGACAATTTGTGTTATTTCAAGAGAGCCTTTTTTACGAATCGGCATGTGTCTTTATCAGCCTTAAGTGTTCTTTTTCATATTTATACTGAACAGTAATATGTTTCAAAGATAGGACAAAGTTAACATATACTGAGAGAATAAGCTCAAACTGCTATCAACACAGTTACACAACTTACAAATGTTCCAAATATCATAAAACTATTGACGTTTGAGAAAGTAAAACTGGTTTATCTGCCTTTATGTATACAGGGATAAAATCAGGTATCCGGAGAAAAGACATCAAAGGGAAAATGAAGATTATTCAACCACATAGCAAATGCTTAGCATTCAGATTTTTATTTTCTATAAACTGTAACAGATTTCTAGTACCAATATAATACAAAAGCAAGTATAACTACAACACTCCTGAACTTGAGCAACTGCTTGGTATTTGATAATCAGTAATATCTTGCTCCAGCAACACCTCATTTAAAATCATACACAATCAATATACTTCATGCAATAATTTATATAAACCCTAACATGGAGTGTTAGGGTTTATATAAATTATTGCATGAAGTATATTGATTGTGGAGAGCCGTCCCTCCTCAATAGCAAGGGTAAGGAAGTAAGACCCAAGCCCGCACCAGAGCCAACACTGAAACCTCAGCCAGAGACAGAAATACAGTTGAGGAGCTGGAGACGTCACTTCTGAGATACAGAAAGTGACGATGGGGGAGGTTCAGGAGGAAAAGGCAAGAAAGGAAAGGAACAAGGAGAAAAGATCCACAATCATGTTACAGACACCTGTTTATTGTTAAATACACCAATAAATATTTCACTTGTTTTGAAGCAACAAAAATCTGCTGATTTCTTTGAGCTGAATATGGAGCCAAAAGTCAAACCCTCACGATTCCTACTTTAAGTTTTCATCTGGCAGATTATTTCCTATCATGGAAAAGTTCTCCTTTTTTGACCAAATTATTAAACCCATCGCTTTAGAATAGAAAAAAAAGGTTTTTTTGCCAAATGTTTGTCTTAACTTAATGATAAGGAACAAACAGTCTGAACATTTCTTGGGCAATTATGAAGACAATTTCAGGAATGTTATGACTAAGGCATTAGGACACTTAGGTACCTCTCACTGACCATTCTGGTTTTATTAAATCCCTCATGCCAGATGGCATCTGGTAGAGAAGAGAATGTCCTTAGAATCACAGTTCCCTACAAGGAATCCATGCTCCCAAACAGATTTTCAAAGTACTCATGGTAGCCTTTAAAATAAGTCACTAGCTACTGCAAGCATCAATATGACAGTCAGTTCACTGTTAGTGACTCAAGCATCAGTAGCCTGCTGGGCATCAATACAACTCGGCAATTTTAGACCTTGGACTTAATCAACTAATGGGTCTTCCTGTGTAGACAGCCTTGTGTATTACTCTAGTGGTTAAGTACATTATTAAAATTTCTTTGTTTCCCCATTCTATATTCTACAATTTTCACTTACATTCCTGATATTATACAGTTTTTTTAAAATTCTGTTTGCCAACTCTGATTTTTTTAAAAAAATGGAAACAACTTTGAGCACATGCAGTTTTGTGTTTTCAAATCAACTCTCATAACACAACAAGGCTCACTGGGGGAAATGCTTTGCTAAACATATCTGTTTCAGAATAAGCACCACTCTGTTGTAGAAAACAACCACTAGTGGTGATCCGCGCCATGTTTATGACTATGCTCATTCCCTACTGTTTTCTGGGTAGCAGGGAAAGGGGCAGATCTTTGCCTCAAGATGCTGTCCAAGTTACATGTCTGCCTCTGGGGGCTGCCAGAAGAGGCTCTAAGACAGGAGTCTCAAACATGTGGCCCAGGGGCCATTTGCAGCCCACCAGATGATAGTTTGTGGCCCCCGCTTTGCCTGCCCCCCCCCAAAGTGCCAGTTTGTGGCCCCCGCTTTGCCTGCCCCCCCAAGTGCCAATGCATCCTCTGCTGTCAAGAGTAAAAAAAAGCCTCGCCTCTCTCGCCGGCTCTCTCCCAAGACAGCGCCTCTTGCACCCTCCAGACTGCATTCCAGATGGAGGGTGCAAGAGGAGCTGTCTTAGGGGAGATCCAGCAAGTGAAGCGCCCCTTTCCCTTAGCGCCGGAGCTGCCACCAAGCGATGCCTGAGAGTGGAGCTCGCTCCCAGCCCGTCCTTGAAGAGCATCTCCAAGCCGCCAACAGCAGCTGCCGCCGCTGCCGCCTCTTCCAGGTGGCTCTCTGGCTCTCTTTCTCTCTTTCTTTCTCTTTCTCTTTCTCTTTCTCTCTCGGCACCCCCAGCACCAGCCCGGCCAGTGGCTGTCGCAGCACCCGGCGGTGCTTCCTCCTCCTCCTCCTCTTCCTCTTCCTCCTCCTGCTTCAGTCACCTCCTCCTCCTCCTCTTCCTCCTCCTGCTTCAGTCTCCTTGGCTCTGCAGGGTGCCTGGGTTCGCCTCACAACGTTTACTCCCCTGTCATGGTGGGGGTAGCTGCTGCTGCTGGTAGTAGCGAAGAAGGAGCCGGAGGGGGTCGTGGCCGCTCCTCCTCCTCCTCAAAGCCCCAGCCGGGCTAAGGAAACTCCTGGGCAGCTTTCTTGGGCTCTTGCTCCACTTGGTGGAAAATCTGATGTGGCCCAGCCTCACCCAGACTCTGCCTCCAGTGGCCCCCAGGTAAATTGAGTTTGAGACCCCTGCTCTAAGAGTTGCTGTCTTCTTTGGGCATCGCTAAACTCAATGAAGATGAAGAAGCTTCCTTCGTCTGGCCACCCACTTGGTTCCTCTGGTGGGAATGGAGCAGAGACAGAGTATCCTACCCCTCTCCTCTGCCAGCTCTTGGCTGCATGCAGTTCCTTGTTGCCAGTGGCTGCCAAGGGAAAACTTGGAAATAACACCCAGTAAACCAAAAGCAAGGACTCGAGTATTCTATTCTTCTTTCTCAAGTTGTAAACTGGATAAACATGGACAGAATCCACCCATGAAAGGAGGAGCAAATTGCAGTAGTAATATGATCATTACTGAGTAAACAAACAGGTATCACACGGGACTAGGTGGTATTCAGAAACATCCAGCCTGGGTCTGGGTCTCTCAGGGCTTGCGGAAAACAACAGCCAATATACGCACAGTACAGTATAAGCAAAACAGAGGTGCCGAAGGGCAAGCAAGCAACGTGGCAGTGTATTTATGTGTGTGTGTGTGGGGGGCGCCAATGGCTTGACCCACCGTGACTATTTCAAGGGATCCGAGAGCGGGCGCTCTAGATCTCCAGGTCAGCCCCTGATAATCTCTTCCTACACAGAGCAAGAGAGGCTCTTCCTTACCCTTCCTCATCATCCCGGCCAGGGCAGCATCCACCTTTATGTCCAAGCCTCTGCCTCGCTCCCTCTGTCTCTCTCTCTCTCTCTCTCTCTCTTGCCTGTCCACCCTCCGCTTCTCCTGCCTGACCTCCATTTGCTCTGCGAAGGCTTCTCGGGCAGCAGGGAGCCGCTCAACACAACAACCCTGTGGAGGGATGAGTTCTCCCCCCCCTCCACACACACACACACATACACACGTAACTGCGGCGACACGTTATGGCAGCCCCGCTCTCCTTCCCTTCCTCACCTCAGCACCCGCCCGCCTTGCGAAGATCCCGGCGAGACCCCTTGGCGCTCACACGACCCCCTGGTTCCGAGGGAGCCGGCCCGGCCCACGCGGGGGCTTCCTGCCGACCCGCCTGCGGACTCCGAGACACAGCAGCAGCGGCAGCCACGGCGAAAGGTGAGCACCATAGAGCCGGCGAAGCCTAGAGAGGTCGCTGTCGTCCAGAGAGAGCCGGCTAGAGCGTCCCCCTAGCAACAGCCTTGCCAGCGCGGAGCGGAAGCGGAACGAAGGACGAGCATCCGTCCCTAACGCGTTCCGGGTGCTCGGTGTTGTCTTTTGGTCCCGGCAAGGTCATCCGCACGTGGTCGCGGCCGGGTGGTGGCTGGCTGGCATTGGCGGGGAGGAAGGATGCTGCGCTTGACGGTTGTCAGGCTGGTCCCCGCCGGCCTGTCAGGGCAGCAGGCCAGGCCAGCGGCGTCGGCGGCCTTCTGGGCGCGAGGCTTGGCGGATCAGAGGCACGGCCCCGCCAAGCCTGGTTTCCCGCTGTGCATCCCGAAGGCAGAGACGACGGCCAAGGCAGTCGCGAATCAGGGCCCGCGCCCGACACGGCGCTTCATCGCTTGCCCAGAGCTGGCGCGCACCGTGGTCTCCCGACTGGGTGCTGAGCTGCAGAAGACCGTCGTGCTGGAGTGCGAGCCAGGTGAGGCGGATACGAAGGAGGAACCGGCGCCGATGCCGCGCCAGGCGCTGTTTTGCCTTCATTACTGACCAAGCTCGGAAGTGCCGTCCCGCCCTTGCAAGCGAGAAGGCGCCCGGGAAGACCAGGGCGCTCCCTTTCTTCCGCGCAAAAGTGACAGTGATCATCGTTATGCAGTGCTTTGGGGAGTCCTCCACCCCAACTAGCAGCAGGGCAGAGATTGGACCGGGGATTTTTCTGGGGTCTAATTTTTTGTGTCTGGGTCGTTTTTGCTTCATAAAGTTATCCCACTTCAGCATTCAGAACGTTACTATTTCCTTTCCCTCATTGTTTCTCTCTTGTTTGCCTGCTGCTGGAATATAACCCTGAAATTACTGGACAGAATCGTTTTCAGTGGCCATATGGTGTACACCATGTTTTAAATTCATGAAGATTGCTATGAAACTGGCTGTTGTGGTCCGGTATCATGGCAGACATGTTGAAATAACTGGCATGGGGTGGGAAACTTACACAACTCTGATTTTCGTTTATATGTGTGGCACATTAGTGCTGTGCACTAATAGGGTGTTACATAAATAACAGGAATGAATGCCTAATAAATAAGTAAATTATTTAGCTAAAGTGGTAACTTGATCAATAAAGAGATAACATTCTCAGTATAAATGTCTCCCAGTCTGTTATAAAAAATGTTCTTGGTGGTTGCTAGTTTCAAAAGGAAACTTTAGTATGCTGATAGTTCCTCAGAAGTGTGTGAAGTTATCAGTATTGTCACTTAATCATCTAGAGCCAGACTATGGAATAACTGTTGCTTCTTTTCTCAATAAAGTTGATCCCTTGTGTTTATCTGTATTCTGAATTTGAAGACATAAAATAACCATACAAATGTATCCCCTTCTAAATTGGAACCGTAGTGATTTCATGTATACTCCCACTCTTGGTGTGCTTCTCAAACTGTCAAGTATATTTTTCAGTTATGATGTGTAGCTCTAAAATCTGGAGTCCAAGGTGCAGTGAAATGTTGGCACAAATAGAAGATCATAATGTGCATTCATTATGATTTTTAGCATATTAAGAATGTGAACATTTTTCTGATTAATAAAAATGCATAATCTCTACTGATTCCAGCAAACGTTGCAGAAAAAGAGGGATCAAATTTTGCATTCTGGATAATAAATTGTAATGCAAGGCTGCCTCTGGAGAAAGAAAACTGCTTTTCTAAGGCACGTATAGGTGATCCATTGGTTGTTCATGTCCCTCAGAGGCTTCCCTTGTGGTCTACAGTGGGTGCTCATGCTGTTACCACTTTAGTTAAATATTCACATGCTGTCAAGTTGGATTTGGACTTATAAACGCCCTTTCCAAGGTTTTCTAGAAACAGCTGGAATTTGAAATCCACATACCTGACTGTGCTTCGATACGTTCTAAAAACTTATTCTGTATATATTGTATTATGTTTTGAATTTTCTGGTCTATGACCATTTAAGAAAACTTAACCAACTAACTGCAGCCAGGTACTCCCAACTCACTGAGCTATATAGGCGCATTGAATTTTTCTCCCCTGAGCTGTGATTGGATCAAATTCCCCACCTGTGTTTATCTGTGATTGTGCTACAGAAGACAACATACAAATAATGTTTTGCTTATATGTTCTCACATGCTTTATGAAGCATGTCTGGGAAATGTGTGAGATCAGGGTAGCTGGGGAAGGGGAGGGATTTAAGCTGTTCATCAGATCTCTTAAACTAAAACAACTGTTTGGTGCTGGAGTTGTTAAAGTAATTTTAGGAAAAAAGTATTAAGATTTGGCTCGCTCTTTTCAGGCCCTGGGATCCTGACCCGAACACTGCTCAATGCAGGTGCCCAAGTGATAACTCTAGAGAGTAACAAGTCATTCCTTTGTGACTTAGAGGTAGGTATTTTTGTTTTATTCCACTGAGCATAAGGGGACAAAATGTGTTGCTTAAAAAAAGATAAAATTAAAGCAGGTAGGCAGCCTATGGCCCTCTAAATGTTTCTGGACCATGGTTCCTATTTAGCAAAGAAAATGAGCGGTTGTGATGAAATTTGTCGTAAACTGGAGGCTGATAATGCTGGGAAAATCAGTCCTGTTGTTGTCTAGATAGACAGTACAGGATAGAAATGGCTAGTTAACTGACTCAATAAAAGAGAATTTCAAATGTTAAAATAACCTCTTTGTTTTGTTTAGATGTTAGAAGAGAAACTAAATGGCCAACTGAAAGCGGTGCATTGTGACTTCTTCAAATTAGACCCTATAGGTTTGGGATTACTTATGCCACCTGTAATGTATTCTGAAAATCTTTTTGATAAATTGGGTATCTTGGATGTTGCTTGGACAGCAGGTAAGTTAAAAGTTGTGAGCTGTGGCTAATTAAAGAGCCACTATTGAATTGTTTCTATTTTGTCTTCCTTTGGTGGATTCAAGTTACATTTTGTCTAGAAAAAAGAATAATATGCTAGAATAGTTACAGTGCAGATGTATGGGAAAGTCTTCATGGCTTCCCCTAACTCATTACCTCTCATAAGAGGGTTCAGTCACAGACCGTCATGATTTTAAAGTATAAATATAAAAATATATTCAAAGAGTGTGAAGAAAAGAGTATATGTATTCGCGAAAGAGTATATGGTTGTGTAAAAGCCTACGGTCCTATAAAAAGTAGGTATGTGTGGGTAAGGGGCAGAGGAGAAAGAGGAAGAATTATGTATATAAAATTGGCGGAAAGAATATGCATGTGAAAAGAAAGAGAGCACATAAAAGGTACTTGTATATGTGATGTCCACCCCCTGATTGCATATAACTCCCATTCACATGTAACCATCAAAATTAGAAAGGCCATGCATTCCTGTGTTTCAGAGGCAGGAGGGTTCACATAAGATTAAGTAGATAAGTATCAGGTTATTAATGAAATGGGACAGAATTTTGATAATAGATTGTTTCTTTTTTTGAAATTAATTTAATTATCATTTTTATTTCAGTTACAGAAGTGTTATAATATATTATATTTTTGATACATATTTTATGTTTTTAAAATAGATGTTCCCGTAAAAGTGATTGGAATTGTCCCACAGGAAAAAGAAAGGAACCTACTTTGGAAGTTTATCTATGCCTTATATGAGCGTAGTTCTATATATAAATATGGACGAATAGAGCTGAACTTGTTTCTCAGTGAAAAAGAATACAAGGTATTTATATGCAAGAAATTCTGGTAACAGTTTAAACGCTTTGTTATAATAATATGAAGGTTTTTGTGTTATTTAGATTTGCATTTTTAAAACATTGATACTTCCATAGATAAATTTTGTTAAGTGTTTTCAGGGTTGATCTAGGACAGTGATGGCCAACCTTTTTGAGCCTGAGTACTCAAACTGGAAAAATAAAATAAAAAACCAGCAGGCGGCAGCGGAAGACGAAATGGTGGCGAAAGGGGGAATTCTGTGCATGGAGGTGCCTCCAGACCCCACTCCGGATTTGCCTCCAATCCTGCCCAACCCCCACCAGTGCCAGCTGTCTGCATCCTGGGCGGGGTGCTAGCACCATGGCTGCAGTTGCCTCCTCAGGTTCGGCTGCCGGGGGTAGCAATCTGGCGACTTATGGCTTGTGTGCCCGCAGAGAGCGCTCCGCATGTCAGCTTTGGCACGTGTGCCATAGGTTCACCATCGCTGATCTAGGGCCTTTTTGAATAATTAGGGAATGGTAGAAATAACCTAAATTGCATTGCCAATAAGAAGTAGCAATTAGGCATTAAGATAGATAATAGTATATTGACTATATATAGATGCATATTTTTATTTCTGGTGAAATGCTGGATGAAATCCAGTGCTGATCATCTGTGAATACAGTTGCGGTAACATAATCTTCTTCCTCCAGATCTGTTCTGGGTGCGGGACATTTGGAGCAAATTGGGAATGAAGGAAGGAGAGGAAGAAAAGGTCCCACCATGTGAACAGGAGGGCCCTTGTGTGAAATTGGATGGGATCTATTACTTTGTTTTTGACACATTGCTCAAATAGATAAAATACATGTTTCATCTTTTAAACAATTTGTTTATTCTTAGGGGTATTAGTTGTCAGTTTCCAAAGAGAGATTCAGTGAGCCTTTGCCCTTATTTTATTTCTGGTGCTCATTCAAGAATTGTTATAATAAAGGAAGATTGTATGTCCATAATCAGAAGCATTTAAAAAAATTGTGGGGGGGGGATAAAGCCCTTGTATTGAAACAAGTTCTTTGAATTAAGTCCACATAGTGTAATTAATCCCTGACAAGTACTTGGAGAAGTGCTTTATTGATCAGCAGATTTCCTCAAAGTAGGGTGGGTGAGCAAATTATAGGGGTGTGCATTTGGTTTGGGGGCAAAGTGTCCTAGTGAGGCATGGCAGTTATTTGTACATTACTATTTGTACATTATTACAATGCAGGACAGTTCAAGAAGGCACTAGTTACACTTTGGTTGGTTAGGGTGCCCCTGAAAATTACTAACCTTTACTCCACCATTTTTGGGATTAAAGATGCTGAAATCTGAATAAAAATATTTGATGCCCGTTGCTGTAGTACGTAGATGAAGGAAGCATGAGAGTGGAAGGAGATTGACCATTAAAGTGCCAATGAAAGCCAAAACCTTTCCTGGAAACTCCAGTCACTGAGCCGTTATGCATCTAGTTGTGTCAAGAGGAGGGTGGTATATCACTTGTTAGCTTGGCAGAGTCCTAGAATATTCTTGTTTTTTCTTTTGATAGCTTCACTGAGTCTTCTAGGAAAGTGGGTTTGGAATTTTTGGACTATGCATCCCATCATTCTCTTCTGGAGGTTCCACCTGAGACAGACACCTAAATGTGGCTCATCTGGGAGAAAGTGTTCAAGTGCTAGTTGGGAGTTTCTTTTGAACAGGAAGCTTGGGCAGAGCTAGGTCAAGGGAGGCCAGAAAGCCTTCCTGATTAGGCTTTCTTCCCAGGTGAGCCACATTTAGACATCTGTAGGTGTCTGTCTCTTAGGTGGGACTCTGAGAATGAGGGATGATAGAATTTGTAATCCAAACATTCCAAATGGGTGAGGTAAAGGTAAAGGCTCCCCTTGACAATTTTTGTCCAGTCGTGTTCGACTCTAGGGGGCGGTGCTCATCCCCGTTTCCAAGCCATAGAGCCAGCGTTTTGTCCGAAGACAATCTTCCGTGGTCACATGGCCAGTGCGACTTAGACACGGAATGCTGTTACCTTCCTACCGAAGTGGTCCCTATTTATCTACTTGCATTTGCATGCTTTCGAACCGCTAGGTTGGCGGGAGGAAATGGGTGAGAGTCTTCCTTAAATTTAAGAATGAATGTGTATGCAAATATAAAATGGATGACTGACCCTCTTGTGTGTACGGTGGTGCCTCGCTTAGCGAGTGCTTCGCTATGCGATGAATTCGCATAGCGAGGGGGTCCGGGCCATCGCTGGAGCGTTCGCTCAGTGATGGCCCCTATGGCGATTTTTCGCTTTGCGATGATCGCTAAGCGATTCGCTTAGCGATCTTCGCAAAACGAAGCGGGGAGAACAGCTGATCGGCGGTTCCAAAATGGCCGCCGGAAGGTCCGCGCCGCATTTTCGCGCCCTGCCCTCGCTTACCGAGGGCGCGAAAATGGCGGTGCTATGGAGAAACATCGCTTAACTGTGAGTTTTCAAGCCATAGGAACGCATTGAACAAAGTTCAGTGCGTTTCTATGGCTTTTTTAGTCCCGTTTAGCAATGTTTTCGCATAGCGAAAGGGCTATGCGAGGCACCACTGTACTTTGATTGAACAGATCAAAGTAGAGCTAGACACTAACATCCTCCCCATCACCATTGGGGTTTTCACTTAATTTACTTTTTAAATTTCTGCTGCTGGCCAATGTGCAGTGGAGTCACAGAAGTGCAGGAGCTGGGCAAGAGTAAAGTGAACAGCTTTGGCGGCAGGATGGAAGAAAGAAGGGTAGCTTGTAGAAGTTTTGTTCATAATTTTGTAACTATTCTAATAAAGGAGTCACCTACCTTTCTCTTTGGGGCCACATGGCTTTTTTTCTTTTTCTGTGACTGTGGAAGATACTGTGAATTGAATTTGCTATTTAATCAATATGTAATGTTATATACAGTGCCATTTTGTAGTTCCAAATGGGCCTATTTCAGCAACAACTTACTTTAGCTTAATAAGTTAGAGTAGGCCTATTTGAGTCAGTGGAACTTACAGAGGAGTTGACTTGTTGAATCTCCATTGAGTCAATCAACCTACCTTAGTGTGATTTTTCTATACTAAACAACATAATTTTGGCCAATGAAATTGAGGTAGCGTGTGCCGATTAATATTTTAATATATGACTAACCAGTCCAGCCCTGTTGTGTTATATACATGCTTCTGTTACAACTTTCCGTGTGCATTTTACAGCTGAAATAAGATATGTGCCTGGATAAAAATTTAGACAATATTTGGAACTTCCTGCTTTAATCAAGCTTTTTGGTTACATTCAAGAGTAAAATTCTGTTGTACTAATTTAAAGTCAGAAACATTGTGTGAAATGTAACTGGTTTTTGTCTCTGCCAGACACTTATTGCAAATCCTTCAGAAAGAAGAATTTATCAAGCATTAAGTATTCTTTGGCAAACTGCTTGTGATATTCAGCTTGTGCACATGGTGAGTATTAGAACATGTAATAATTTGTAATACAAATCTGTTCACATGTATTAGTAATTCCTGACATGTTGCTCAAAAGCGTGAGATATAGAAACAGAAATGCCCAGAATCCTGTTAGTTATGAATGTTGGCATAAGTCAAATAGTGTAAATCTCAATAGCAAACTGACACAAATTAAGGAATGTCTGTATTACTTGTGCACCATGACAAGAAATACAAGTGGTGACTATAACTAATGGCAATTATCATGGAGGTTTTATATTATTTGACTTAGTGCTACATTGTGTAAGTAATAGTATACAGACCAACAGTTTTTACGACTTGGAATATGTGAGCAGCAAATGTTTTCTCTGGCCAATAGGTGAGGCCATCCCTCCTCTGACCTTGCTGAATTTGACAGCTTTTTAAATATAATTTTTCATGAATTCATTTTGTGATTTCTCTAGCACTTACAGAGTGGTCACATGTTTGGACTGGAATCCATAGTAATAGATCAAATTTCTGTATGTTCTGATCAATGCATGCTCAGATGGGCATCTTATTCTTCTATGCAAATTCACCGCTAGAAGTTGGAGGAATCTCCACATGAGAAAATGTGCTGCCTAGCTGTATATATGTACAGCAACTCTATCTTATCTCTTTTAGAGTCTGTGTTATTTTTTGTCCTATTAATATACAAGGAGTCTTGTGCCGCAGTGGCTAAACAGCAGTGCTAGAGCCCAAACTGCTCACTACCAGGTTCAATCCCAGGTAGCAGGCTCAAGGTTCACTCAGCTTTCCATCCTTCTGAAGTTGGTAAATTGAATACCCAGCTTGTGGGGAGGGGGTACAATGTGTAGCCTGCATGATTAAATTGTAAACTGCCCAGATAGTGCTTTAAGCACTGTGGGGTAGTATATAAGCAGAATGCTTTGCTTTTTTAAAAAATCAGTTCTTTATTTCTGGTTTTTTTTTAATTTTTTTAAAAGTCTCTGATGATGCTTGAAGATCACATTCTGCTGAGTGCACAGTTTTTCAAAATCCCTTTTTAAATTTTGCTTCTTCCTTGTTTCCTCCTTCCTTCTTTCCAGGAGCCTTGGTCTTCATTTTTAACTAACTCGAAAAGGCCTAACCCCCCTGTACCCAAGAAGGCGGTAAGATAAATACTTGTACATGCTAACGTAAAAGCAGAGATGATGCTTGATTTTTAAAGCAGGCTTTTTATAGAATAAAAATAAGTGTGAAGAGAAGTTTTCTGATCTGCTGAATGTACAAGCACTGACATTCTTGGAAATTTGTAGTCGTTTGACTCTGTGCCAAGTGTATTTAAAATATTAAACTCCCTTCAACTAGGGCTGTAGTTTATTCATTGTGCTCTGAGTTTCCCCTTTGCAAAATTTCATGATTTAGACTGAGCAGTGATGCACCCATTTAGTTTAGGTACAGTAGTGCCTCAACTTACAAACTTAATCTGTTCCGGAAGATGGGTGTAAGTCGAAATCGTTGTAAGTTGAAGCATCATTTCCCATTGAAGAAAAAAATCACTGCAAGACCCATTGGAAACGCGATTAATTCCTTCCGGCCAAAGGGGGGTGGGGAAGCAAGCTGAGCATGCAAGACAGATGGAAATGGGGAAAAAGCAATTCCAAAAGCAAGCAAAGCATGCGAGACAGATCAGAAATGGGGAACCAAGCGAAGCATGCAAGACAGATTGGGAAATGGGGAAAAAGCAATTCCAAAAGCAAGCAAAGCATGCGAGACAGATCAGAAATGGGGAACCAAGCGAAGCATGCAAGACAGATCGGAAATGGGGAAACAAGCGAAGCATGCAAAAACAGATCGGAAAGAGCAATGCAAAAAGCAAGCAAAGCATGCAAGACAGATCAGAAATGGGGAAAGAAAAGCAAAAAGCAAGCAAAACATGCAAGACAGATCGGAAATGGGAAAAGAAAAGGAAAAAGCAAGCAAAGCATGCAAGACAGATCAGAAATGGGGAAAACAAAACACCAACAAACACCCCCAAGACCCATCCGTAATGGGGGAGAAACAAAAAACAAACAACCCCCCAAGACCCATCACAGCATAGAAACATCACCCCCCCCAGCCCAAAACCATGCTGCAAAAACACCTAGAACAGTTTTTAAAAAGCAGAAAACAGCACCTTACCTTACCAGGCAACCTCCTCCGATCGATCGCACACACTCTAACTGCTGAGGCGAAAGAGCTACAAAGAAGTAGCCTCGTTGCCACCTACATTTAGCAATTTGAATTTCCTTTTTTCACCTGCCTTTTTTTCCTGCTCATAACTCAAAGATCAAGTTGCAAGTAGAAGCAAAATTTCGCGGCTGGAGCTGGTCATAATTTGAAATAGTCTTAAGTAGGGACGTTCGTAAGTCGAGGCGCCACTGTAGTTTGAATGCCAGACATTCAAGGATGAATTTTTAATCCCCAGGTGAAAATTTTGGTGAGCAGCACAGAGAGACATTCACTGTGCATTTGATATCGCAGTCAGCTCTCAGTCCCCAAAGGGCTTCTGGCATAGACCAGATGTATATTGGAGGGCATAGTGCAAATGGGGAATCTAGGTTGCAAAACTTCCTTCAGGGTAGTTATGCAGTAATTGGTTGTATTTCTCACCACACAGTGGTTTGTGCATGGTGGTGGGAGAGTTGCACTACCCAGCCTATACTGCACTTACATATTGATGCATAATTTAGCAGATTGATCAGTGTTACACACTGAGATGGCAGTTTGTATATTACTTAAATTTGACTTTTAAATTAAGTTTTTCTTTTGTTTTATGTTTAGCTGCTACAGAATGATCATTTGTGCTTGGTACGGCTGACACCTCGAAAGGATTTATTTTCAGACAGTTTGACGACAGCTAATTCCAAATTATTTGTTTTGATGGTAAAACAATGTCTTATTAAATCCAAGACCCAACTAGTAGATAAATTAAAGTAAGTGTTGACATTTTCATCCATTTACTACCAGTTTAGAAAAGAATTTAACAGAATACAGCTCTTGCACAATTTTAAAACATGGCATGCAAGGTGTTTTGAAGCAAATAATGGGTTGGCAGTGTATGTCTATAACAGGTTTATGGCTGCAATCTCTATATTAAAACACATGGCTAAATACTTTTAAGCTTGTGGAACAACTTAGTTCTTTCTAGCCTGACAGTGGCTTAGTTCAAAGATCTATTTTAGATATGCTTAAGAGGTTGTGCTTACCCACTGGGATTTTTTACTTTGAACAACAGCTCCCCATACCCTACCAAAAACTGCTTTTGGGACTTTCTTCAGCATTAGCCCGGCAATACAAGAGATTGCAGCTTGGTATATATAAGCCCATCCATCACAAGTTTAAATATTGGCCATTTATGTGTCAGATAACTTTACACTTTTCATTTATGTAAATGTACCAAAAGTATTTGGGAATTCAAGTTATGGTGTATTAAAATGCACATTGAAATTGATAGTGGAGTTCCAGAGTTTCATGGCAGTGAAGTACGTATAAGTACCAAATTCTATTAGCAGTAAGAGGAAGCAAACCTATCCATATGGCTAAAATGAGGATTAGAGCAGTGAGTCTCAACCTTGGGTCCTTGGAGGTTCTTGGACTAAAACCCCCAGAAGCCTCCACCTCTAGCTGCGTTGACCAGGTGTGAAGGAGAGAACACCAGTGTGCTGTCCTCCGTAGAACAGAACCCCGAGGAGAACCGTGGCTGTGTGGAGGGAGTGTTGGTAGAGATAGAACAGGAGAGGGAGGAGTGGAAAGGGTCGTTGGAGGTTTGTTTAGCCGACGAGAAGGGGGAGGAGTTAGTTGGACCTAATCATCTGGGAGGAGGACATAAATGGAGAGGGAGGCGCGCGGATTTTCAGAATCCTAACAGGTGGCGAACCACCAGAAAAGAAGGATCAGGTGGTACAGATTGAGCTGAGCTATGGGCAAGAGGACTTGGTACATTTAATGAATGACTTTCCTAACCTCTGGACCGGAGGAGGCTTGCTGCTAGACCCAAAAGACCAACACGCAAGAAGAGAGGACCTAGAGCCAGTAGAATGGACGCAATTAGTGTCTAACAGGTGGCGAACCACCAGAAAAGAAGGATCAGGTGGTACAGATTGAGCTGAGCTATGGGCAAGAGGACTTGGTACATTTAATGAATGACTTTCCTAACCTCTGGACCGGAGGAGGCTTGCTGCTAGACCCAAAAGACCAACACGCAAGAAGAGAGGACCTAGAGCCGGTAGAATGGACGCAATTGGGGGGGGAGGGTGATCCATCCCAGTCCCTCTTTACTCCAACAACCACGCGAAGGGGATTGGGCGAGACACCCTTGTTGTGGGACAGTTTGTGCTGTGAGGAGCATCCCCCTGAGGCCCATGACCGATCAGGAGTGGTTTGGACCGGCCCCAGTGTAAGAAGTGATTTGTTGACACTGGATGTAAAGGTCCGAAGTTATAGGATTCTTCCAGAGTTAAGTTTATTGGATCCTTTTGAGACTGTTGAGTTGAATATGTTGAATAAAAGAGACTATGGTAAGTATACCAAACCACTTCCAACTCTCCTTCCCGCGCAGTCCTTGGGGTCGCCTCCAGCAGATGAACCCAATCACACCAGGGTTGCTGGAAGTTGTAGTCCAAGAATATCTGGGACCCAAGGTTGGGAACCACTAGGTTAAGGAATAGCAAGAGATGCTTTCAGCAAAAGTGTTGCAGTGTGGAGAGTTTCAGGTGAGAGGTTCATCCCCTTTGTTCAGTTCTGGCTTGCCATAGTTTTCTTCCCTTCCAGCCGATCTCTAGAGTCAGTCAGTATCCTGCGTTGTCTGAGCAAGTTCAATCCTCATTGGATTTATTTTTGGATTTTTTTCCTCTGTGTGGGTCACCTACTTTATTTTGTGCTCTTTCCTTGCTACATAAAAATTGATCTCTGTGGAAAGATCTTATTTTTGACCTTGGAAATAAAGGTTGTCACTTGTGGGACACCTATATTGTGCTGTAGTAATGTACTTTCAAAAAGTATCAGTAGAACCTTCTCCCTCTCCTTTTAAATCTCTTTCCATTTCTCCCTTAAATTGCATGGCTCTGAGTAGCACGGTTTTGGTTATACATTGATATTTTCAATCAATCAATAAATATTCAATAAATACTGTGGCATAAGTTCAACACTGAAGGCATCAAAGTGGTCTGCTTTCCGACAAACACATCTCTAATTCATCCTCTAGAGCAGGAGGGTCATAAGGACCTTTAAGGCTCATTACACACAATATTGTATGGAAAGGATTATCAATACTATAGAAGAGAACCTTGATAAAGAGAACTGATCTCTATCTGTGTTAGTCAACTGTTTATGCTTTGTAGTTGTGTTTTGTAGGCCATAAGAATTATACACAGATTTTGAACTACATGGTGGTCTGGCACCCCTAACCTCAGCATTGTTGAAGGAAGAAGTGTATTAACATACCAGACCTCTCAGAAAATATTCATCCTTAGCTAGTTCATTTTTAATTTATTTTTTGTTTGTTGTCTTGTGTTTTAGTTTATGGACCTGTGAGAATGTGAAGCAACTGCTGGGACAATTAGAGATACCAGAGAACAGTACAACGGGTAGTTTATATCCAGAACAGTACAAATGCCTTTTTCACCTTATGCAACAATCTAACAGATTTGACCAAAGCTGGGTCTATGATAATGATTTCTTGGAATATCACATGGATTTTTTAAACGAAGCTTATTGTTGAAAATAGATTTTCTGTGACTTGGGGTATGACGCAAAGCATGAAATGGCTTCAGATGTTGCTCAACAAAGCTACTTTCTGGGCAAACAAGGATGACATCTCTTGAAAATCCGAGATCCTGCAGATCCAACCAAAGAATGGCACAATAGTACTTCTGTAGCTAATTTTGAAGTGATTGTATCTCCTTACTAGGATTGCTGGTAAAACCTTTTGTCCTAAATACTGGACTGAGTGAACACTTGGTTAACTAATGCACTGCATCTGACCTACAGTTGGAAACTTTATTATGGCATGTTGTGCAGTTTGTTGTAGAAAGAACAATGACAACAAAGCTAACAGTATATAGGCTCACAGCACACAAGAGGCTATTCTCAGAGTAGCAGGTACTCTAAAGTTAGCTTCCAGAATAACAACAAATAAAAATCACAAGGGGCAAAAAGTGGAAGGTGGAAGTTGTGTTTTTAGTTTACAGGCCCATTCTTACATACTGGAGTTGCATCAGAAATGCCAAAAGAGGCAAAATGCTTGTAAGAATCTTGCTTTGATCTATATGGACTGAAATCCAATAGTAAGTCACAAGTAGTACAGGACCATTGAATCAGTGGAACTTAACAAAGGTGTTCATTTACCAAGTCTCCACTGAATCAGTGGGCCTACTTCTAGTTGTGACTTATTGCTGAATTTCAGCCATTGTATAATTGTTGTGTATATAGTTGTATAGTGTGCATATATTTGTGTGTGAATACAGCTCACCATGTTTCTGTTGCATAATATAAATTGTAAATAGTTTGTGTAATTACAAGAGGTTTGTATCTTAAGTCTCTTAATTTATACAAATATAAACATTTGTCATAAAATTGCAAAAATGTGTTTTTATTTAAAATAATAATATTGTGTTTAATTTCCTTTTAAAGTATTATTTTCCTGTATCTTTGTGTGCTTGGAATTTGTATCCAGTGGCAGTATAGGAATGTGTAGATAGTGGATGCAGAACCTTCTGATACCAGTATCAAGCTGACCAGATGGCAATTGTCCTTTCCCTTCCACTTTTTGAAGATGGGGATATTTGTCCTGTTGAGTCTTCAGAGACAGCCCCTCACAACAAGGATTCTGAAAAATCAGAGACAGAGGTTCTAACATGTGCTTTATATACAGTTGATCTGGCCATGTAGAATTTTTCAAATTTCTGCTGAGCAGACTCAGTATGAGAAGTCCAAGAGCCTGACTGATGGAACATCACTCTCAGATTAATGAACTGAGATATCTGTTCTAATATCCCCTCCTCCTTTAATTATCCATTTGAAAGAGGGATCTTCTGTTAAAGACTCTAATTTTAGCTTTCTTATAGTTTACACTGAGCAGATTCTTAGTACAATAAGTATTGATTTTTTTTTTCAGTAACCTGAGGCATGTTTGAATATGGGACTTCAGTAATATGTGATCTCCATATTGCTAGTATTGGAATGGCCTTTCTACCACCCCTCCCTGGAAAGAATTGCAATCTTGTTAAACAGTCCATTATATTGTTTAAATATTAATAAAATGCTTTGGGCCAAAGTACAACCTTGACATACCCTTTTAACTTATTAGACAATTGGCCTGAAATGCCAACTATGACTTTTAAAGAAGCATCAGTATGCAGATCTTTAATTCTCTCTAGCAACCTATATAGACCCCAAAGTTAATCACTTGGACTAGAGTCAAATGCCACTTTAAGGTCAATAAAAGTGATGTATGGTTGCTCTAATAATCCCTCAGTATATTTGCTGATTATATGTTGTAATATAAAGACATGGACCAAAGTAGAAAGCCTTGACTTAAAACGAATTTGTTCAGGTACTAACAATTTGTTTTCACTTACCCATCCTTCAGTTTCTGGAGGAGATTTCTTGCATAGAGTTTGCCTATAACAGTGATTCCTATCCAGGTGTTCTTGGACTGCAGCTCAGTGAGCACAGCTAGTGGTGAAGGCTTCTGGGAACTGGAGTCCAAGAACATCTGAGTTACTGATGGTTGGGAACCACTGGACTGTAACATTGAGTAACCTTATGTGTCTATAACTGGCAGGATCATTTATTTCAATTTAATTACTTATATCCTGTTGACACAGACTGTATTAATAATTCCACAGTCATGTTTTGGGGTTTTTTTTTAAGTAAGGTGAAAAGGCTCATAGTAAATTATTGAATTACCTTGTACAAAAAGAAATAAATTCCTCCTTCAATACCCTTGCAAAAAGATTATTCTTAATTTTAAAATATAACTATACATCTTAGAAAGCTTTCATGTCTGACTGTTTCATTATTTAATAACAAACTGTTCCTTTGCAAGTAAAGGAGTCAAATTGCATGGCACAGTAGAATCAATTACCTCCACCAAACCCTACTCTTAGTAATATGAGCTCATTTGTATACTATAACATGTGATGCCAAAAAGCAACACAAGAATACTGGAGACACACTGTACTTGGTTGTTACTGAAAGTCAGATCGAAATCTGAAACACTGCATTGATCCACTTGAGCCTCTTCTTAACAAAACAAACAAACAACACCCCCCAAAAAAAACATGTGGAGACTTCATAACAGTAAGACAACAAACAACACCCCCCCCCAAAAAAAAACATGCGGAGACTTCATAACAATAAGAGTCTGGAATAGTTAGTTGGAACACTGTAATTTTGCAAAAGTATAATTTTTGTCTTGAATTATTTTTAAAAATATGAAAGTTCACATATGAGATAGGCTGTAGTTGTTCAGTTTAAAAAGAGATTCCAAAATTTGCACTTGAGAAATGTATTTTACTAGGACCAGCCAAATTTGCTCAAAACTACAGGCAGACTTTTGAAAACTCCCAATCTCTTTGCATACATCTGCAAAAAAGGGGCAAAGGTCAAAAAAGAACTACAAAGCCATATGGCTGAAGCCAACTCTTGGTCTTGATGAGAGAGCAAACACAATGGGAATTCAATAATTTGGTACTGATGTAAATCCCAGTAATGAACAAACAAATGAAGTTAGCTCATAAAGGTGGTATGACAAAAGTCTTAAGATGGAATGCAGATTGTGGAAAATGCATAATGGCTATTTTGTCCATTGCTTCTTGGGGTGGGGGTGGGGAGTCTAGTACATGACTTAAATGGAGAGCTCCAGTGTTTTAATCTTTACACTTTCAGTTCTTTTTAAACAGCTATATTATCTGCAAATTTTCTGGAGGGGTTTGTATCTTTTATAATATGCAAATTTTCCAGAGGGGTGTGTATCTTTTATGCTGACATAAAAGATAACCGCATAATACAGTAGTGGTTGTTGTGGGTTTTTCAGGCTCTTTGGCCGTGTTCTGAAGGTTGTTCTTCCTAACGTTTCGCCAGTGCTGTCCTCTGAAGATGCCAGCCACAGAGACTGGCTTAACGTTAGGAAGAACAACCTTCAGAACACGGCCAAAGAGCCCGAAAAACCCACAACAACCATTAGATCCTGGCTGTGAAAGCCTTCGCGAATACATAATACGGTAGCTTTGCAATTCACTTAAAGAAACAGAAGCACACACTTGCAAAATCAACAATCCTGTCAAAGAAAAATCATGCTGAGAGGAATGAAATGGGCAACAGAGCATGCCATTAAGTGAGGGAGCAACCTGTTTTAAAACAAAAATGTGGTTAAATATCAATGAAGATCAAAGCTTCTCAGAAACAGGAAAAATGGTGCCTAAGCAGAAAAAAGGAGGTAAAGTAAAAATAATTTAATGGTTGAAGACTCGATTAACTGCCCATTAAAATAATTAAGAATGGAATTACAGGGTGATTGGAAGGCAGCATTTGCATTGATAGATAAGAAGCTGCTAAATCTTGAAGAAAATGAACAGTTTAGAAAAAGCTGTACATGAGGTAACAGATTTGGGGTTATACCAGAAGGAAAAAGTAAATGAACTTTAGATTTTATTGACTGTTATCCAGGACAAACTGGAAGGTCAAATGACAAAACTTATGCTTCAGTTTTTCAGAGGAGGAATAAGGTAATATTACATAGAAACTGGTGAAGTGGCTGAATGCTATATGGCCAGACCTGCAAATATCAAAGACATAAATTGCGTCCATAGGGCACTTGGATCAAAGTTGCAAAAACAAGGTCTGGCAAGGGACATCACTGCAAGATTCACCGACTACCAAGCTGAAGGACAAAGCTTATGGTTGCTAGGGTATACAGAAAATCTGAAATAGGTAGAAGCTGCCATTTGAAACTCCTCAAATGCCTGTCCCTGCAGAAACTTTAAAAAGGAAGGTGTTACAACCATATACAGTATTGATCTACTGAAAGCAGCAGGATTACAATACAGCTGGGGCTTTGCCTTTTAACATATTAATTCATCAAGAAGGCAGTTTACTGATACTACCTTCAATTCAAGTAATCATAATCATCCATTATCATAATTCAACATGGGCATGGCTAAAACTGGGGACCTTTAAGGAAAAAAAAAGGCTTGATTTTTGCTGCGCAAGAACAAGCACTCCAAACCAACGTGATGAAAGCTAAGATCCAAGGAGTTAGTGCTAACAGCAAATGTCGACTCTGCCAAGAACAAGGAGAAACCATGTCACACCTCATCTGTGAATGTCTGAAGACTGTACAAACAGATTACAAAGTCAGACATGATAGAGTGGCAAAGTTAGTGCACTGGTCATTGTGCAAAAAACATGTTGGTCAGCCTCCAAAAACCCATGGGAACATCTTATTTATTAATTAATTTATTAATTTAACATATGCCGGCCACACTACCCAAAGGTGTCAGGATGGCTTACAACAATTAAAATACAGTAAAATCTCAGTCGGGAGGGCATTCCATAGTCTGGGGGCAGCTGCCAAAAAGGCCTTGTGTCTACAAGCCGTCCCTCTTACCTCCTTGAGGGACGGCTTTTCAAAAGGGCCCCCTGGCTAGATCTTAACTGCCGGTTAGGTTCATATGGAAGGAGGTGGTCCTTCAGGTGTCCAGGGCCCAAGCCATTTAGGGCTTTATATGTCAAAACAAGCTCTTTGATTTGGGCCAGGGCAGCAACCGGTAGCCAATTTAATTTAAAGCACTTTGAATTGGGCCCGGACAGCAACTGGTAACCAGTGTAAATTATACAGAATCGGCTTGATGTGCTCTCTGGCGGCCCCACCACTCACCAGCCGCGCAGCTCGATTCTGGACCAGTTGCAGTCGCCGGACCGTCTTCAAAGGCAGCCCCACGTAAAGCGCATTGCAGTAATCTATACGGGATGTTACCAGTGCATGTGTAACTGTCATGAGACTCCGCTTGTGCAGGTAGGGCTGTAGCTGGTATAATTTCCGCAGCTGGATGAAGGCGCCCCTGGCCACCGAGTCCACCTGGGCTTCCAGTGTTAGACTGGGGTCCAGGAGCACCCCCAGGCTGCGGACCCTGTCCCTTAGGGGGAGTGTAACCCCATTCAGGACAGGGAAGTGGCCCTCCAACCTGTCCGGCGAAGCACCCACTAACAGCACTTCCGTCTTGTCTGGATTGAGTTTCAATTTATTAACCCTCATCCAGTCCATTATCAGGTCCAGACACGAGTTCAGCACAGAAACCGCCTCACCTGGATTGGTGGAAAACGAGAGGTAGAGCTGAGTGTCGTCAGCATATTGCTGACTCCTCAGCCCAAACCTCCTGATGACCTCTCCCAGCGGTTTCATGTAGATGTTAAACAGCATGGGGGACAGTATCGAGCCCTGAGGAACCCCATGACATGAATGCCATGGGGCAGAGCAACTGTGCCCCAGCACCACCCTCTGGACACGGTCAGCCAGGAAGGAGCGGAACCACCGTAAAACAGTGCCCCAACTCCCAACCCAGCCAGCCTATCCAGAAGGACACCATGGTCGATGGTGTCGAAAGCCGCTGAGAGGTCCAGGAGTATCAACAGGGTCACACTCCCCCTGTCTCTCTCCCGGCAAAGGTCATCATACAGGGTGACCAAGGCAGTCTCTGTACCAAAACCCAGCCTGAAACCGGATTGAAATGGATCCAGAAAATCCATTTCATCCAGCAGTGCCTGGAGTTGCCTGGCCACAACCCACTCCAACACCTTGCCTAAATAAGGGAAGTTCGCCACTGGTTGGTAATTAACTACCAGCCTTGGGTCCAGGTTAGGCTTTTTTTTAGGAGTGGCTGAATTACCACCTCTTTCAAGGCTATACAATATAAACAAACTGGCTCTAACAGGGTTTTAGACTAACAACAAAAAACATTTCTACATGTTCATAGAATGCACCTGTTGGTTACTCGCCACAACTGTGTAATTTATGAATTACCATATTTAGCTATGAAATATAAACTAGATCTAGTTTTATATTGTTTATTTATTTATTTATTTATTCCATTTATACCCCGCCCATCTGGTCATATTGACCACTCTAGGCGGTCAATATGTTTTCATAGTTTCTATATTATATAAAAATATATATTTTAAAAAATCCTGTATTTATTTTCATTTTTAGTAGTTTTATACTGTTGTTCCACAGACGTTACCAAGGGCAAAAGACTAAAATTGGCAGTAAAAACCCTGCTAAAGCATTAAGACAAAGTTACAGCAGGGAAAACAGAAGCAATCTGAGAAATGATGTTGTAGTGCCACCCATCTGTTATATGGTAGGCAGGCTAGTCCCCAACCCCTTTCCAGGTGTTCCCATAAATTCTTAGAAACAAATGTAATTACTACATTTGCAAAATGTTGTTGTGATGTGCCATATGAGAAACAGGCCTTTGGAGGAGAAAGAAACCTCCACATTCTGAGAAGGAATGACTTTGCTGAGAAAGAAACCTCTACATTCTGAGAAGGGGTGACTTTGCCCCATAAAAAATGCCTTTTTATGCAAACAAGGCAGGAGGGTTGCAGGTTACTTGGCTGTTATAAAAGGGGTTTGCAACTCAAAAAAAGTTAGAAACCACTGATCTACACAAAGGGTATTTCTGTAGTTTATAATAATCTAAAACAATAAAACACAGATGTTGACATTGTTTCAGAGTAAAGTTATCAAACATTAATGTGAAAAAAAGGCTTTTTGAAAAAATGTTTTTAGTGTAACCTATCCTTTTAAGGTAGCTGTTCCAACACCACGAGGATTTTGGATACAAAATAGGTATAGTGATCAGAATCACACACAGTGTTCCAGCATGAAGACATCATTGTTTCATTTGTTTTAATTCCTTTTGTAATGCTCCCAAACTTGACATTTGTTTTTTCATAGTAAGTTCATGCTGATATATCCCTCAAAACTGCAGACTGATGATTCTAAACTTCTAGTTACTAGAAGTAGAATTGTTATCTTTTCTATCTCAATATATTTCTCAACACAACACAAGCTTTCTTCTTTTCTTAGCATAAGTCTGAATATGCTTTATTTTCCAAGGAGAAAGTGCATTGTTCTAACCCCTCTGATGTCGGAGTGAATCCTCAAGTTAACTCTGCTGCTTTTTGCTTTGCTAATAGATCATTTCGTCATCGTTGTTTAGTTGTGTCTGACTCTTCGTGACCCCATGGACCAGAGCACACCACGCTCTTCTATCTTCCACTGCCTCTCGTAGTTGTGTCAAATTCATGTTGGTTGCTTCAATGACACTGTCCAACCATCTAATCCTCTGTCGTCCCCTTACCCTCTTGCCGTCACACTTTCCTAACATCAAGATCTTTTCCAAGGAGTCTTCTCTTCTCATGAGATGGCCAAAGTATTGGAGCCTCAGCTTCAGGATCTGTCCTTCCAGTAAGCACTCAGGGTTGATTTCCTTTAGAATTGATAGGTTTGTTCTCCTTCTAGTCCAGGGGAGTCTCAAGAGCCTCCTCCAGCACCACAATTCAAAAGCATCAATTCTTTGGCGGTCTGCTTTCTTTATGGTCCAGCTCTCACTTCCATACATCACTACAGGAAAAACCATAGCTTTGACTATTCAGACTTTTCTTGGCAAGGTGATGTCTCTGCTTTTTAAGATGCTGTCAAGGTTTGTCATC